AAATAGTCATACATCACCACAATAATAATTAGAAAACAAACTTTTACGCATTATTCTCAGTTGTCCCCACTTTGTCTTGGACAATGATGATGGTTGTAACCAATGTCTCTACATAAAGAACATTGTTGACATGGTTGATAGTCCATCCAGTTTATTTCATTCCTAACACATGTAGACTTTGGTTGACCTTTTCCCCTGATTCTTTGCACATCAGGGAGTAACTTCCATTTGTTGGACGTTAAAATGTTATTTTTATTTCCAAGAGGCCACCATTGCAATAAGTATGCATTAATAACATATGACATTGAATACATAGGATCAACCCATTGCCAATAATTTATACTGACTAATGCACAAGCAGCTATCACATGTGAGCATGGAAATTGATATGCTTGAAACATTTTGCATTGGCAATATTGATTGGATAATATGACAGTCCATGTATTACCACTTAGTTGCGTGACAGGGTTAAATGCCTTTTTACTTCAAACCTTATTCTTTGAATGTCATATCGTCGAATTTGATGTGAAGACACTTCCTCTAGATTTTTTTCCATTTGTTGCATTAATTTATGACAAAATCTCTTAACAAAATGCATACTCATTTTTGAGTTCTATTGGTGCTTCTTCACCACGCTTAACAAAATACTCAACTAAACATGAATACGTACATTGTAACATCCTTATTTTTATTCAAAACAATAAGAGTATAATTTCTGAAATAATAGGAAAATTTAGTTAAATTTATTATTGATCGAATATAACAAGTGAAATCATAATATATTCTATTTATTTTGCTCAAACGTATAAGAACTTTGAATGACAAAGCAATAATAGTTAAACAAAATTTTAAGAGGAAACAGTAAAATAACATGAACATATATTGTTCTCATAATATACAAGATGTTAACATTTATAAAATATTCATTAAAATACATTAAAATACATTAGGACTCTTTTCCAACATTTACAAAATAAAAGATATAATAAGTCCTAATGAGCAGTCTATCTATCACATGACCAGAGACACTAGTCATCTCTGTGCCATCCCTCTATCATCGCGATATCATCGGAGTCGAGAGATCATCATCCGATCTGAGATATAGATCACCCAAGTCTGCAGTAACCTGGGTACCAGTAACCTGCTCAAATGTCCATCGAGATGGTCTTCCAAGGTGGTCATGATCATGGTATGTGAACAGGTAGGTCAAAGCTGCTGGGGTCCTCATGGTGTCAGGAAAGATATATACGCAAAGGATATGATGGATTCTACTTACAGGAAAATCAAAAGGAACACTATAAGCTAATTCCATTTTCATCATAATAATATCACTAGGCATATCATTAACATGTACAACAATCCTAAAGTAACTTAATTTCAGTATTCATTAAATATATAATTTAGTCTATTAGTTACAGAACTATCTATAAGCCTAATTCTCTCTCTGGGTGCTATCATCCTGGTTCCCTAAAATGTTTGCATAAGGATGAGTCTCTATTCATATTACTAACCATACATCACAAATAAATTAATAATACAGATAAAGAAATCACACAATCATCATATAAGCATATCATTAAATTATCTAACTCATTCTAATTAAGTTCCTTGTTACTTAAAACTTTCATTTCTCTTTCTTTTACTGCCTTTGAAATCCCTTGAAATCTTCCTTAGTATAAATAGTTGCAAGATAGTCATAGCTACACAGATACAACGTGTGCTAACCTGGCCCCTTTTAGCAAAAGCATGGTCAGGAGTATTAGTCAAGAAACGAGTGTGAGGCCTGTGGTGCTCTTACTCTTATTTGTCTTGCACAATTCAAGAGGAGCATCCACCACCCTCATTTCCTCAAGACTTTTCAATCTTTTCCATCTTCCACACACCCAATGTACCTCTGAACTATCTATACTCGTCCTTATCATATTCCTTTCTTATTTCCTTTCCCTTTTCATGTTTCTATCTCATCTCTCTATATTTTATTCTAGTTCATTATTACATCATACATCACTCAATCATTGCCGATAGTTAGTTCTCTCGGACTCAGTCCACCATATACATGAATATATATTCACAATAAAGATCACACCCATCATCAAACACCACAAAACATGCCTAAAACATAACAAAACATATTCCAAATATAACAAAAACATATTATCATCCAACACATACTCAAATCAAACATTTTATCACAGCATTTTCATAAACATAAACACAAACACAACAGTTTCTTAGTAATAAGATAGAGCTCTCCTTACCTTAGAAGATTAGTTTTGGTAATGAGAAAACAAGAAAAGGATGGTTCACGAACCAAGGTAGTTCTACACCTTATGATAAGTCTATAATTCAGCCCTCTTTTACAGCCCATATATTCATATTTGACATTTATTTTATTTGCGTTTTACACTAATTTATATATTAATTGTGCAGTTTGGTATAAAGAGGCCGCAAGTAGATTTTGGGCCCAAATTGATGCAAGATTAGAGCTTCGCAATAGTCAGCACGCCCAAACCCATCCAATAAGCACTGGAGTGCTTTGAGCCTATGCATGGTCGTGCTTAAGGCCTTGCACAGCCATGCTCATCTGCGAGAAGCGCAATTATGAAGAGATTTTAGGGTTTTCAAATCCCATAAAAGTGAAGAACTCAGGCATCATAAAAGACCGTTTTTGACATCTTGGCTTTTGCTTTGGAATACATGTCTCATCTCGTCTCTCTTGCACGGGATCCGTGGCACATGCTTGGAAAGACTTGGAGCTTCAAGCGATCGTACTTGAAGACTGGGAAACACATCTCATACTCTAGTTTGCTATTTCTTTTGATTATGGCTTTGTTCATGATTGTTTTAGTTTTTTTCTTTAGTATGAGTAACTAAGTCCATAGCTAGGGCTATGAGAACTATTGTTCATGAATTTACAGGATTTTGATGTTTGAATCTAAATTTGATTTCTGTTTCGTGATTAGATTTTATCCTATTGCACTTCTCTCTTAATCCTAATTAATTATATCGTTAGGCGACCGTACCTCGGTTAATTAATAGATCTATAGGGTAAAACGAGACAAAGGATTAGGTGGACCAAACCAATCTTTCTCTTCTAATCGTTATTAAATTAACAAGTTCGTAGGATCCTAAAGCTTTCTTAAATTAATGTCTTGCATGACTATTGGGGATGTTGATTTAGAGAAAGGAATATTAATATTGCATGACATTGGGTATTAATAGTATTCGTATGAATGATTGGTAATCACAAGGAAATTGAATTTAGAGTTAAACAGAAAAATAATATAAAGGATTGAATGAGAAAACCCATATGCCCTAGGTTCCTCTCCGATAAGTTTAACCAAGACGTGCATTGTATTCCTTGCTCTTAGTTTTATAATTGATTTTATAAATTCTTGTTTTTAATTAATCTCGTATCTTTGAAGCTTAAACAATTAAATTAGGAAATTCTTAGTAATTGGAAAACAATCCTTGTGGGACGATATTTCAGAACCTTAATTTAAGAACCTTTTATTACTTTTCGATGGGTACACTTGCCCTTCGAATAAGTTTTTGGCGCCGTTGTCGGGGATTGCTTTTTCGATATTAAGAAAATCTCAAATTTAATTGATTTGAGCAATTTGCGTTTTACTTTATTTTAATTATGTTTTGTTTATTGTTAAATTTTATTTTATTTTTATAATTTTTGTATTTATTTTATTTTAATTTTTTTATTTCGTAATTTCTTTTAATGTATGCTCACTCGTTCTAAGTGCTCTACAGGTTGTTTATTTGATCCGGAGATTGAGAGAACAACGCGTAGACAAAGAAAAGAAGTGAGAGATCAAAGAATGGCAGAGGGAAGGAGATCAATTCAAGATTACATGACACCCACTGCTAGAGGCACTCTTGGAAGCATCGTGGCACCTAATGTGGAGGCCAACAATTTTGAATTGAAACCAGCACTTATAACCATGGTCCAGAACTCGATACAGTTTGGAGGCATGCCTAACGAAGACCCCAATTTTTATCTGACAATGTTCCTCCGATTGACGGATACGATCATGTACAATGGAGTATCCAATGATGCTATTTGACTTCACCTTTTCCCCTTCTCAGTATCTGAAAAGGTGAATGCATGGTTTTCCTCACTCCCAGCCAACTCCATAAGAACTTGGGAGGATCTCACTCAACAATCCTTGGGAAAGTACTTTCCCCTATCAAGGTCCTCTAAGCTTATGACAGAGATATGTTGCTTCCAACAATATGGAGCAGAATCCTTATTCGACGCATGAGAGCGATTTAGAGAGCTTTTGAGGAGATGTCCTCATCATGATTTTCCGACGTGGAGACAGGTACAAATTTTTTACAGTGGCCTATCAATCACTACCAGGGCTATAATTGATGTCGCAGCAGGAAGGTCCCTCATAAGAAAAGATCCAGATGATGCATACAAGCTGATAGATGAGATGACATCTTCTAGCTTTCAGTGGCACATCGTTGACTCTTACGACATCAAAAGGAAAGAGACCGCTTCGGTCTACCAAGCAGAGAGCAGCAGCCCACTAATGAACCAAATGGCATCCCTTGCAAAGCAACTAGAATCTTTAATAAAGGCTCAAGACCAACTTGTAAGAGCTCCTACAAGCCCAGAATCTAAGCAGGAGGAGGCAAATTTCATGGGCAATCACAGTTCGAGGTGGAGGAGTAATCCTCCTAACTCTTGGGGGAATGGCTTTGGAAGTCAAAATTCAAGTGTTTATCGCCCTCCTCATATGTAAAGTCAGGGAGCAAGACTTGAAGGAAAAGAAGCTCCTAGATCTCAGTCTAACTTTCAAGAATAGATGATGCAATATATGCATTACTCTGATAAGAAGGTGACAGAGCTTGAATCCAAGTTGGACCAACATATTGAGAGAATTGATAAGAGGTTCGCAGAGGTTAAATCTGAAATATAAGCCAACTCTTCTAAGATGAGTGCACAGTTGGAGCAAATTACGAACCTTCTGAGTCAAAGAGTGATGGCAACATTACCATCTCAACCTGAGCCTAATCCAATGGAGCAATGCAATGCCATTACTCTAAGAAGTGGGAAAAATTTGAATGGGACACAAACACATAAGTCATGCACGCCTGTGTTGAAGGAGGAGCACGCCCTTGCATCACCCTGTAAGCCCATGCTACTTGAAACAGAACAGCCGTGCTTAGAACAGCACGCCCTTGCAGACAATGAAGGCACGACTGTGCTAGACGGAAGCAAGGTCGTGCTCAACGAAGGCACACCCGTGCTGGATGATGAGCAAGGCCGTGCTTACCACCCAGATGCGAAAAAGGAGACAAGGGAAGATGCACCAGTGGTGACAAAATCAAAAGTTCCATTTCCAAAACGATTGATGAGTAGCTAGAGAGACCCTCAGTTCAATAAGTTCCTTAGGATCCTCAGAAAGCTCCACATCAATATTTCTTTTGTTGAAGCCATATCACAGATGCTGAAATATGCTAAATTTCTCAAGGAGATGCTAAGCAATAAAAAGAAATTGGAAGAATTCGAGACAGTCAGATTGAATGAGGAGTGCTCAGCAATTTTACTAAGGAAGCTTCCGCCTAAGCTTAAGGATCCAGGGAGTTTTACAATTCCATGCACTATATGCAATTCTTATTTTGATAAAGCGCTCTGTGATTTAGGTGCTAGCATCAATCTAATGTCATTTTCTATGTTTAAAAGGTTGGGTATGCAAGAACCCAAGCCAACTTCAATCTCTCTGCAGCTTGTTGATCGTTCAATAACGTATCCTAGGGGCATAGTGGAGGATGTCCTAGTCAAGGTAGATAAGTTCAAGTTTCCTGCAGATTTCATTGTCTTTGACATGGAAGAGGATGACGAAGTACCTATCATACTAGGGAGGCCTTTCCTAGCCACAGGAAGAACAATAATAGATGTTCAGCAAGGGAAGCTCACACTGAGGCTAGATGATGAGGAAGTTATATTTCAAGTTTTCAATTCTTTCAAGTACCCTTCTAGCCAAGAGTCATGTCACTTTGTGAGCACTATGGATGTTGTTTCTCCTCCTCCAATTTATGTGAAGCATGGAACCATAAGAAAAAGGCCAAGGAGGAAGCAATATAAGAAGAAGAAAAGACAAAATCTTAAACCATCCATTAATAAGCCTCATAATTCGAAGCTTAAATTTTCTTCTCTTTATTCTAATCCTCATCTTATGAATAATTTTTCTGATGTAATAGGTGTTGGGGAGACAAAGCTGTTGGGGAGACAATTGCATATCAAGGGAGTTACCTCTGAGACTCATACCTTCTTCCCACCATGATTTAACAGGAACGTCAGGCTTGTGACGTTAAACAAGCGCTCCCAGGAGGCAACCTATGTCTTTTATTTTATTTAAATTTAATTTCTTTTTGTTTATTTTAATTTTTGCTATTTATATTTTATTTTTAGAATAAAGAATAAGCATATTGAAAGATTGCAAGAACGGAGTTGATTGTTCCCACACTTTTAAGCTCTGATTTGGAAGCACGCCTGTGCTCATCACATACACGGCCGCGCATTGAGTCGCAGTTGTGAGAGAAAGCTTTACATCATAAGCATAGGTGTGCTCAAGATTTCAGCATGGCTGTGCTCCCTTACCTGAAGCCGTCGCGCCAAGAATTATCAGGGAACCTCTTTCCTTTTCATTCAATTGTCCTCTTTGCATGCTTTTAAGTTAATTACTTTCAAACATTGAGGACAATGTTTTGCTTTAAGTATGGAGGAGTAGTTCCTAATTATATGATTGTTATTGCATGTTATTGAGTAAAGTGCCTATGCTATTTTTTATGATAATTTAAAACTTTTTCCCTCATAGAACCCAATTTTTTCCAGATAGAAGAGCATGTTGAGTGATTATTATTGGCATTATACTTTCATTTGGAAACTAATAATTAGCTAGGTTCCTTACTTTTATGCTATACATTAAACTTTAACCCACAGATGTGAGTTTTGAGCCTTAAAGGAATTTCTATATTAATTTAATTAATTGTACCACTTTCCTCATTGTTTTGTGTGATTATCTCCTTAGGATTTGTGCTCTAGAACTTGACTTGGAACTGACTTAGGACTTTTCTTTTTAATTGCATGTTTTTAATATGATTGAGGCATAATAGGATTTTTATTCTTGGCCTTCATCATGTTTGAGATACAACTAGTTGCCCATTTTGAGCCTTATTGATTTTCTTGGTCCCTTGCATTAAATTTATAAAATATTTTGATGACCTTGAGTTTATGAATGGAGCAATTAAGTTGTTGAATTGTTTGTTAAATTCTCATCTATATCTTTCATGTGCAAAAAGAAAGAAAGAAAGTATGAAAAAAAATAAAAAATAAAAAGAAAAGAAAAAGGGTTATATATGATTGAAAAGAGAGAGGAGTAAAGATACTGTTCATACACAAAAAATATAAAAATTACTCCAAGAGCTTCATTTGTAAACTTAGGGGATGTTTATAATTTTTATAATTTATTACCCTTTGTATATCCCCTTTCTTTCATTTATCTCACCTCAAATTATTATAACCCCTTGGCCACATTATAACCTGAAAAAGACCTCATGACTTTTACTTGCATTTAATTTATTTAGTGGAGAGTCGGTTTATAGTCAAGCCTATGGTAGTACACTTCTCTTTAGGAGAACTGAGTGATGTCTTATTTTGTCCCTTAGTGAGAGAGGAAAGTAGAGTACCTCAGTTTGATGTTTGAGTGAAAAGTATAGAAATATAAGATTCTAATTGGGAATCCTTTTGATTGCTTATGCTCAGTGATATTACTCTTGTTGCTCTCTTTATCTCCTCATCTCAGGTTCCTTGTGTGGTAATATGTTTCAAGTTATTATGTTACTCTTAACCAGCACTTTGCTTGAGGACAAACAAACAGATAAGTATGGAGGAGTTGATAAGTCTGTAATTAGGCCCTCTTTTACAGTCCATATATTCATATTTGACATTTATTTTATTTGAGTTTTACACTAATTTATATATTAATTGTGCAGTTTGGTATAAAGAGGCCGCAAGTGGATTTTGGGTGCATTCTGGGCCCAAATTGATGCAAGATTAGAGCTTCACAGCAGTCAGCACGCCCAGACCCATTCAATAAGCACGAGAGTGCTTCGAGCCCATGCACGGTCGTGCTTAAGGCCATGCGCGGCCGTGCTCATCTGCGGGAAGCCCAATTATGAAGAGATTTTAGGGTTTTTAAATCCTATAAAAGTGAAGATCTCAAGCATCATAAAAGACCGTTTTTGACATCTTGGCTTTTGCTTTGGGATACATCTCTCATCTCGTCTCTTTTGCACGGGATCCTTGACACATGCTTGGAAAGACTTGGAGCTTCAAGCGATCGTACTTGAAGACTGGGAAACATATCTCATACTCTAGTTTGCTATTTCTTTTGATTATGGCTTTGTTTATGATTGTTTTAGTTCTCTTCTTTAGCATAAGTAACTAAGTCTATAGCTAGGGCTATAGGAACTATTGTTCATGAATTTATGGGATTTTGATGTTTGAATCTAAATTTGATTTCTGTTTCGTGATTAGATTTTATCCTATTGCACTTCTCTCTTAATCCTAATTAATTATATCGTTAGGCGACCGTACCTCGGTTAATTAATAGATTTATAGGTAAAATGAGACAAAAGATTAGGTGGACCAAACCAATCTTTTTCTTCTAATCGTTATTAAATTAACAAGTTCGTAGGCTCCTAAAGCTTTCTTAAATTAATGTCTTGCATGGTCATTGGGGATGTTGATTTAAAGATAAGAATATTAATATTGCATGACCATTGGGTATTAATAGTATTCGTATGAATGATTGGTAATCACAAGGAAATCGAATTTAGAGTTAAATAGAAAAATAACATAAAGGATTGAATGAGAAAACCCATATGCCCTAGGTTCCTCTCCGATAAGTTTAACCAAGACGTGCATTGTATTCCTTGCTCTTAGTTTTATAATTGATTTTATAAATTCTTGTTTTTAATTAATCTCGTATCTTTGAAGCTTAAACAATTGAATTAGGAAATTCTTAGTAATTGGAAAACAATCCTTGTGGGACGATATTTCGGAACCTTAATTTAAGAACCCTTATTACTTTTTGATGGGTACACTTGCCCTCCGAACACCTTATAGAAAGAACATTATTTGAGTAAAGAAGAAACGGAGAAGATAGAAGCGAAAATGAGGAGTTCAAGCTCTAAGATGCTCATCGACGATTCCGTAGAGTCGAAGTTTGAACTCAGATTCGGTGAAGTTTCAGAGTTTCTAAGGATTTTATCTGTGATATGGAAGAGAGACAACTCGTTTGAGCAACAAGCACCTCCTTGAGCTACAAATCTCTCACTTGAACAAAATATGTAGACAATAATTTTTCTAACGTTTTTCTAATATTCTCGCTTGAGTGAGCTCTATTTCAATTAAGCGAGATAGCGACCAGAGAGGGCGACATTTCTCCTATGAGTCCTCGCTTAAGCGACTCAGCTCACGTGGGCTAGATCTTAGCTCACTTGAGCTAGATCACTCTCACCTAGGCAAGGTGACAGTTGAGCAGAATCTATCCTATCTTGCTTGAGCGAGAATCATCTCGCTTGAGAAAGATTGCTTTAAAATAAGATATTTCTGGGCGCTTAGTCTCGCCTGAGCAAGATATTCTCTCGCTTGAGCGAGCTTCCCCGTACCAACCTCTTCTAATACTCTTCATAATACACTCCTAACACATCTTAATACTAATTAACATCAAACAAAACATAATTTTCTAAATAATGAAAAAGGGTGTTACATACATTTTACCAGTGTAGTTATTGGCAAATTTCTCGTTCCTTTAAAAATTTTGTTAATTGCCTCTGATAAATTGGTTGTCATATATCCATAACGGCTTCCATGATCGTCATAGGCCAAACTCCACTTTTCTTTGGAGATACAGTCAATCTAGCTTTTGATGTCCTTTGATTGATTACGAAATCATTGCAATTTTTCTTTAAATTTTTGTTTGCATGTTATGTATCCTATTAAAACCAATGACATAATAGTAATAGTCAAAATATTATTTTTTCCATAAACAAGAATTACAAACTCCAAGTAAATAAAAACAACCAAGTACTACCTAATTTTATCAGCTCTTTCTTCATATTAGGATTCTTGAATCGTTGATTAAAATTGCTTGCTATATGACGAATGCAATACACATGATATGCATTGGGAGGTTGTCATTCAATATGTGGATTAGAAACTTCACCTTTGATACTTTGATGTCTATCAAATATTAAAGAGATACCTACCTTTTCTACGACATGAAGACGAATAAGAGCTAAAAAGTATTCCTATGCACATAGTTATTTTCATCTTAAATGGTAGCAATCAATCAAGTTTGTCAGTACTTACCATACAAGAATGTACCATCAACTTGTATTAAAGGCTTGCAAAAATTGAAAGTACTTATGCATTGTCTGAATGACCAAAATAAGTGCTGAAATACTTTATATCTATTATCAACTTGGTGAGCCTTCACATAGTCATTGGTTTCAATCTTATAAACAGACCCAGGAGTATGTAATTGCATGTATTCTAATCATCTAGGCAATGTAGCATATGATTCATCTCAATCACCAAAAATCCTTACAATAGCTTTTTGTTTTGCCTTCCATGCTTTCTTGTAAGAAACTTGATAACCAAATTGACCATTAATTCTTTCTTAAATTAATGTGATTGACACCAATGGTTGTTCTTTTACCATATCTACAACAATTAAGAATATTAATTTCAGTAATGTTCTTGAATAAATTTTACAATCTTCAAATAAAAAATTTGGATTAGTTTACTAAAACTTACCAAGAACACAAGCAAATGAAGTTTGAATCAAGTTTTTTGTGGTCTAGAGACATTATTGGATTAACACATGTATGTGTTCCACCACATCTTGTGATTTTTCACTTGTTATAAATTTTGCCCAGTGTTGCTCTAACTCTCCAAAGGCATCCACTTGTATGATTTGGACACTTTACATGCAATTTTGTTGGCTTTGATTCCACCACAAATGAAGTTTGAATCAAGTTTTTTGTGGTCTAGAGACATTATTGGATTAACAAATGTATGTGTTCCACCACATCTTGTGATTTTCCACTTGTTAAATTTTGCCCAGTGTTGCTCTGACTCTCCAAAGGCATCCACTTGTATGATTTGGACACTTTACATGCAATTTTGTTGGATTTGATTCCACCACAAAATAACTTTGATGTGTTTTCATTGCAAAATATTTAATAACC